ATTTTTGGTAATGCATTTCATGAAACAAACACAATGACAGAGGCATAAAACTAATAGTTACTTTCTGCTTCATAATCTGAATTGAGTCAAGAAACAGTATATACTAAGATTCTCACTGGACTCATAAATTCATCTAATTAGTATGCTTATGACTAAATCTTAATTTTTTTTCTTAATTCATTTACCTGCATAAATAAAATCAAGTGTTGGCAGCTCAATTCCTCTGAAATCAAGCACAAAAGACCAAGTGCACGCACTGCTTGGTTTCTAACAGCAGGATCCTCTGAAACGTAGACAAGGCAAGACTAGGTTCTCATGCAAGGAATACAAGGTAGGATTCATGACGATAATGTCTGGATTCTCTATCATGTGAGACACAATCATCAGGCATTTGCTGAGAGTGGTAGGGTCTGTTCGTTCCTCTTGTATCACCTGTTAATATATGAACATCATGTTAGTGATAAAGGTGAACACTCACTATTAAAACAATGAATACTCCAAATCAAACGATAACAACAAGAGATATGAAACATCACTGCATCAAGGCTTTATATGTTTTATTTCAATCTTTATCTAAACTTAACTAGTTTTATACTAAAATGTCTTTATGTTTGAATACCTGACATGTATAGATATACAAACCTCCTCTGATGTTGAGAAATTTAGATCAATCACAGAAGATTCTTTCTCCAACTCTTCCAGCTCCTTCTTGAGTGCCTGAGCTCTCTCAAGATCAAGACTTCGCACACATTCCTCTACTTCTTTCTCGCAGTTGGTTGATTTTTACCTTCACACGAGCAGCCTGACAAATGGTAAAAAATTATAGTCACAAATAAATGTTCATTTATTATCTAATATAATTCACATCCAAATGAAAGACCTCATTCACAAAATAATATTGTCTCACCTCTAGTTTTTCTCTTGCGTTGTTCTTCATCTGACAAAGGCCGTTCTTGTTGCTCTGTTCTGGTCACTGGTTCTCTTATTTCAGAAATAATTTCTGCTAGCTGGTTAACACGTGTGGTTGCAGGGTGTAATTTTCCCAAACACTTCAACAAGTCCCTTTACAAGTGTTTCACCCACTTTGTCTGACACCAACAACCTCCTCACAAGCTGGTCCAATGTTCGACGCCCAACCTAATGAGGAATACTGATCCTTAGACTAATCTAATCTAATTTTCCAATACAACAATCACATCTACTTTAACCTTTGCAATGAAACTTCTCTCAGGCCTTATTACCTATATATCATGCATTAATAAGTTTTTCAAGAAGAGGGTCTTTGCTTTTAGACAAATGTCTTACCTCATCACTTAAATCATAGAGCATGATAATGGAAACAAGCTGAGTTGTGATGAACTCCCTCTCCATGCATCTGACAAGCGTTTCTTGAGTGTCACCATCATCCATTACTTCAACCATAACAAAGTTGTTTACATAAGAGCAAAAGTGTGTCAATTCTGGAAGCAATAGTTCCAGAGCTTCTTCAGCACCTTCCTTTCTGGAGATTGTGATAATGGATTTACATTAGACTTTAGTCTAAATGGAATATCATACATCAGAAAACATGAAATATAACTAAGAGTTGTACAAAAGGAAAATATGAAAAGAAGAATGGATACTTAATGTACAGATTTGCACCCACAAACCTCAAATACTCTGCGAGACATCGCCAGTATAGTGCTGATTCAGGCCTTAATTCCCCTGATTCTAAGGTCCTAGTTTCCTTATTGAGACCTAAGTTTTCAATGAGGTCAGCATAAGGGACATCACGAAACATGGACTGGAGAGCTAGCTCAGCTTCTTTGACAGCAGTCTCAACATCAAGACAAGAAAGCAGATCCAGTACATTTCCATTGACCATGCGCAGCCATGACTGGATCAGATTTTTCTCCACTGCTCCTCGGACTACGTCACTACGATCAGTCAGTCCTTCGGCAATGAGCCGCACTCGCTGAGCAATTGTCAATGACTTCAAGTGCACCTTTCGGGATATCACTTCAAAAGCCTGAAAGTTAAAAAATCTTCATGAAAGAACTGAATACAAGTTTCTACGATTTGATTTTTTAAAACATGGTATGACTATGTATAATCAATCATTGCATGACATGAATTGATTTAAAAATGGGGTAAGCCTATCTTTAAGGGACTGTCATTACCTGTCGACGAACGAGATCTCGTACATCACGAGTACGCTCTAGAATATCAGGGAGGGTCTGGAAAGTGATGGCTATGCTCGTCAAAACTGCCCGTCGAACATCACTGTTTGGGTCCATTGACAGGTGGTAACGATATGCTGAAGAAGAAACACATATTACCCCCTACAACCTGGATGATGTGACAATAATGTCATGAAAAAATAAATTTGGCTTGACGGCCGGGCAAGGTGAGCTTGCCATCATGGGAAAATCTGGCTGTGTGCCAAGGTAACAAGAACTTGCTGTCGCAACATTTCAGCTGAAAGCTAGGGTGTCTCCTCACCACCACCAGCTCTTGGAGGATGATTAGAATCATTTGGTGTTTAAAAAGGGGCCTTTGCATTATTTCCATTGATAAATGAGTATGGAATGTAGTGTCTGTGTGCCATGACTGGAAGAGTGCCAGCTCCAGGGACACTGCTATTTCCATGCTCAGCAATGCAGGTTACTCTTGTTATTATTCTTACAATGAGTTATGGAGTACCTATAGAGATGATATGGAGTATGTGCAAGGGAACAGTCTATTACCATCTGGATAAAGCAAAAGACAAATAATGACATTGGAAAATGGTCAAAAAGCTCAAAACACTTATGCATAAAAAAAGAGGAAACAACATTGCAAGGGGAGGTACAGATTTTTGTTACTGTAACGAGTGTTTGTATGTGTCTGGCCTACAGGACATGCACCAATTAGAGCAACCACTCACATAAGCCTAATGCCTGTATTTTGGGCCATGTAATTTCTATGAAGCAACTGAATCCAATGGGTTAAGTCTCCATATTTTAAAGATTCTACCAATTACTCTAAAAGTCAACAGCCAAGTTCACATTTCTTTTCCATATCTCATCCTGACATATTCATTAGTATATATTCAGACTGCAAACAAATAAATAGTAGCTTCTGGTACTTGCTGGAGTCCTTCAGTTCACTAACAACTGTTTACTTATCAAGCTATCTATAAAATAATGGAATACAAGAGTGAAATTACATGAACATGAAAGTAAAGAAAGAAATAAAAAGAAAAGAAAAAATAGTAATAAAAATTGTCCAGAATAAAAATCTCTTCAACAACTATCCCAAATAACACAGGAGGTAACAAACCTTTGATTACAGGGCATTCCTTGTTACGTGGATCCTGGAGACGGGCCAAGGCCAACACTGCCTGGACTCGCACACTTGGTATTTTGTCTTGCAATCTGTGCAACATTGTGTCATAGATATTGCTGTAGAGTTCATCATCTATGACTGCCTCCTCACCCATGTGGTTAAGGATCTTGTTGATCAGCTGACAAACTCTGAAGCGCACAGCTTGGCTATTGGCCTCATGATTCTTTATGGGTTGAAGAATTGCAATCAATTACTAACTAAATAATACATAATCTATTTAAAAATACTTACTATTCCATATAGACATTTATTTCCAAGAAATTTCCTGTGCTAAAAGGCCATTCATGCAATTTAATAAGAAATTAAGATAAAAGCAATCTAGATATTCAATATCAATTACAATGGTCAACTTAGGCTATCCTTACATTTAGTAGAAATTGGATCAATTTTACAAGGAAAGGATCTGCTTCCTCTGGCTCTTCCTCTTCCTCCTCGTCATCTTTTGCTTTCTCTTCTTTCCCATTTTCTTCAGTTTCAGATTTTTTACTTGTTGCAAAATTTAGCAACAAAGTTCAATGTCCTTTCCACAGCTGGCTGCTTATCTCCATGTATAAGAGATTTCTTCAATAGACAAGTAAATTCAGAAAGAAAATTCTCAAAGTCACTCTGAAAAATGAAAAAGACAAAAGATTTTATCACATCCTGCAACAGGTGATTATTCTTAACCCATTGGCGCCAGGTGTCACGTACGTACATGCCATGGCTGTTGTGGACCAAACGCCGGGGGCATCATGCCATGCCCATTCCCGCGCTACTGGCTCGTTGGACGGAGGTTGTTTTTCTCCACTAGTAGCGGCTTCATTTATATGGTAAAGATTTTAGGCAATGGCACCTAAAGTGAAGGTAAACCTTCAAAATTTTAATATTCTTATAAATTTTAGAAAAATAAAAGCTTTTAGGTGCTACATGTCGCTCGCAAACTACCGATTGAGCCGGCGCAAACAGGGGAAACTGCCAGTGCGCGCTAACAAGCCGGTGCATACGTAAACTTGACAAAATTTTTACCTGTCGCTGATGGGTTAACTATTCTAATCTTAGTATTTTCTTGGCATATCATAAAAAAAGAATCCTTTTCTATGGTAAACTTAATTTCTTAAAATACAAAAGATCAAATATGCCAGTCCTCTCATCTGACTTTCTCGTCCTTATGAAAATTTGGCCATTATTGTAGTTGGAGAACATGACAGACTGAACTGTTCATCTACGATTTGTTGTGATTATCAAATAACTTTGGATGAATATTCATGCACAAACTAAAAACATAGGTACATCAATAAAAGCTACACATATTGCCTCAGCCTACCTTCAAGTAAGTTCTTGTCAAATGTTTCACCAGTTTTGGGTGAGATGCAGCTGTACGCTGGCAATCAGCAAAGGCTTGTTTTGTGGTCACATCTTGCATATCTGCAACAGAGCACAATATTTAATATAGCCATTCACATCAATAATATGATTGCCAATTGATAATCTACAGCAATATTAGACCAGACTGCAGAGGGAAACAAACTGAGAGATGTCGGGCTACATGGCCTAAAGTGATAAATGTTTTGTTTTAAGCCCTGTTATTTTTTACTTCTGGAGTGTTTAATCTTAGTTCTGTTATAAAGCAAGGCTTAATTTTCTGCATTTTCATGAACCTGAACAACTACCAAATTGTATTATTAGATCAAATTTTATAATCTGGCAAGACAGCTTGTGATTTCTCATCATACAAGGGAGCAGACTAATTCCTCTGTTAACACAATATAAATCATTGAGGCTTGACAGTTTTTGATGAAAGCCTCATAGGCCATGAGATAGCTGCAACTTCTTCACACTGAACTGGTACAGTATTAGGAAAGAACACCGTCTTCCCTAAACTAACAAATTATGATAGCTTTTTGTTTCATATAGCTATTCAACCTGCAATTATTATTTATGGTTCCAATTATTCACAGCATAACATGCATGAATCTTGTTGTGGTAATTCTTTACAGTACGGAGACACTCACCAGAGACTAGGTCCCAAACTCGTTACAAAATTTATTCAACAATCAAAGTTACTGTGACTGGGATGGATGACCCCAGCAAACATGGTCTATTTGCCCTAGCTAAGTGCATCCATGCTGTAAAGATTAACCCAAGACCTCCACCTGATCTCTGTATTTCCATAACTGCCCCCCCCCCCCCATCACCATGGGCTTAGTCTCCAAACAATATTTGTTACAACCTATTTTCTTCATTGCTGACATTATTATTTGCCTAGCAGATTATTTCATGCAAGAGCAGTATTTTCTCCAGTTTATGACAGTCAATAGTTTTTACTTACTTTTGGGCAGTAACATAAATTTACATAACATAATCCTTTTAATTCACTGGCAAAGGAAATGAGGTTAATCTTTAAATTTGACATGATATTCTTAAAGAAGACAAAAAGTTGCAGTAGTCAGTACAAGATATAATCTGCAGACATAAAGGGTAATACTACAAATAAAAGAAAATGGCAACCCAAAGCCTAAGTCCATTTGGAACTTTGAAGTTTCAGCCCTCTTGCTGTGCCTACAAAGATGAAGATAAAATGTGTCAGTGGATATTTGGCAGGGAAAGCCTCCCATCAAACCTTACCTCAGATAAGCCCACTTATGGCAACTTACACTGTTGACTAAATTTTGTAACATGAGTGTCTATACTGTTAAGATTTACCAGAAATGTCATAGTGAAAGTGTCTTCAACTTTGTCACTCTGTTAGAGAAATTTCATCCTGTATCATATGGCTGGGTAAAATTGAAATTGTACCTGAATTTTGTATTGATAGATTTCTTTGATGTAGCCTAATTGTAGTTTTATCTACAGCCTTATAATCCCTGCAATGGAAGAAAAAGAATCCTCCATATTCACAGCAGAGCATCAGAGAGACTCCCGCATGTCGGTCTTATGTTCTCTCCTGCCGTGAATATGTGGAGGATTCTTTGTTTTTTGGGTGGGGGCTAGGGGTGCTAGGACTCTCCATGGGGAGGTTGCAGGGGCCTGCATTAGACAGTATAGTGACTGATTGTGAGTATATTATTCACATTTTACCCCGCAATTTCCTTGGTACCCTTCATGTTTTCCCCTGCTATCAGGGCCATGATTGTCGCTAATGTGTGTGTGTGTGTGTGTGTGTGGGGGGGGTGTCCCATGCAATAATTTATATACATTTGGATATTACAGAATGAGAGGAATACATTGATACCAAAATCGTTCTAATCCGATATGAGGAACTATTGTGTGAAATTACCCAAGCTAGAAGTAGGCACAAATTAAGGTGCGTGACACAGAGATAAAAGGAAATGGAAACTTTCATTTTATAAAGCATAAGAAATAAGAATAAAGAACAAAATATGTACAGCTGCAATGGTCTCATATTTACCGTGAAATGACAAAAAATTTAATATTGGCTGCCTATCACCGCTTAGACACTTAGTCCACACAGCCAGAGTTCTTAATGTCCATTTCTATAAGTTAGCACAAAGTGCATATAAAGAGGATGGGGGTAATTCTTAACAGTATGAATGCACTCACCAGAGGCAGTCTCCAACTCCTTGTCAAAAATTATTCATCAATATAAATTGCCATGACTGTGCGTGCCCACTGCCCGAGGGAAGGGTTGATGGGGGGCTCTGCTCCCTAACACCCCCTGGGAAACATTGTCTCCACCTTAGTATTCTCAGCAAGATAGAGTTGAAACTCAGGAGCACAGAGTAGGCTCAGGCTAAGAGTGGCACTTTCCACAATCTTTTTCCTTTAATTGTGGTACAACCATTTGTGTCAGCAGATTATTTCTTGTGCCGATGACTACAATTTTTGTCCTCTACAAGATTATTGTATTCAATTTACCCTAATTTAGTGTGTCTACCGTCAAGGTTAACCAAGGTAGGAAAGGTTAGGTTGGATGCTTGTTTGCAAGATACCCAGGTTTTGGGATGGTCTGTGGAGGGTACATTGTTCTCGTTCACAATTACCTGGAAGTGCGCTGACCAAAGAGGCTGCGATAATCACTAATTAGACAACTTGCTAAAGCCACTTCAGCAGCCAAAGGTTGGCGCTCCAATTGTTCTACAAACTCTCCAAGGAGGGATAGAGGGAGTGGAGTCCCTCAAAAAATTCCAAGGGAAATTTGGGAGTTCTGAAAAATTGATCACTTTCATTGGTATCTTTGCAATATCAAATCAACAATGCTCCTGGTCTATGTCAAACTCCCAAGCTACCGGGACCAATATAGCAACATAGGTACAGAAACACCTCATTTGTAAACGATTCCATAGAATTCAAACATTAGCTGCCCTTCGTAACAATATACTGAAAATGAAATGTATTAAGAATTACCGCTCTATTGACCTCATGCAGTTTACCTCGAAACAAGTATCCATCCGAAGCTTTCATAATTCACCGGCTTAAATCCACAAAAAAATAAATCCAAAATCCTGCCAGAAAAATAAAATAAATAAATAAAATGACCGGAAACCTAGACCTCTGAAGGACTTCTTCCTTCAACGCGTCATTCCTACAAAACGAACCTCCTATAACGACCACAAACCAACCATCCCCTCTTAAACGAACTTAACTCCCTCCTCCACGCCCTTAACCGAACTAAAACTTCATTATCGGGCATCAAATCAACGGAATTTTGCAACACCTACGTTTTCATCGTTCAAGAGCGCCAATTCGCACCGCCAAGAAGCCGTTGTTTACGCCGCCGACGACCCGCCCTTTTTGAATCCCGACTGGCGCGCCGGTTCCTTCGCGGGTTTCACTCAGGCGAGTCGGATAATTTATGGGGTATGAGATTCAACGCTTGGGTAAAAAGGGGGTCTGGTAATACAGAAGAGAAATTCGAAGGTTGGAAGGAAAAAAGTCCAGTCGTATTACTAGATTAATGATACACGCAACGCATGCATATACGTACAAAAAAAAAGAAAAGAAAGAAAGAAAAAAATACACACACACACACACACACACACACACACACACACACACACACACACACATATATATATATATATATATATATATATATATATATATATATAATATAATATATTATATATATAACTAGAGAGTCTCAGATAGAAAGAGGGAGGTAGGAGAGAGAGAGAGAGAGAGAGAGAGAGAGAGAGAGAGAGAGAGAGAGAGAGAGAGAGAGAGAGAGAGAGAGAGAGAGAGAGAGAGAGAGAGAGAGAGAGAGAGAGAGAGAGAGAGAGAGAGAGAGAGAGAGAGAGAGAGAGAGAGAGAGGGAAGAGGAGAGAGAGGAGAGGAGAGAGAGAGAGAGAGAGAGAGGGTAGAGGTAGAGAGAGAGGTAGAGGTAGAGGTAGAGAGAGAGAGAGAGAGAGAGAGAGAGAGAGAAGAGAGAGAGAGAGAGAGAGAGAGAGAGGAGAGAGAGAGAGAGAGAGAGAGAGAGAGAGAGAGAGAGAGAGAGAAATCTAGGATCTGATCTTTGTCACTATGGAAGGTGTTTCTTATACATAGAGAGAGTGTGGGGAGGAGGGAGAGCGTGAGAGAGAGAGAGAGAGAGAGAGAGAGAGAGAGAGAGAGAGAGAGAGAGAGAGAAGAGAGAGAGAGAGAGAGAGAGAGAGAGAGAGAGAGAGAGAGAATCTAGGTTTTTTATCTTTGTCACTATGGAAGGTGTTCCTTACACTTGTATAAATGAAAACTCAAAATTGCAAATCTTTGTATATCATAGGAGCAGGATGGTATTTAAAAGTGGAGAGCAAAGTAGATTCCCCTCGGAAATACCCGGGGGTCCTGGATTTATGCAGTTTTAAAGAGACAAACTGCATTAATTACTGCATTAAAATGTATGACATTTTCTTTAGATATTACCTGACATGATGATTATTTCATTTTGAACTCCAGACTCAGTTGTAGCTGCTCTTTCAGTTGCAAGGGGTCAGCGTTCTCAACAATTGGGTAACTAAGGAATTGCAGTGTTTGTTTACCGGAATGTCCTCGAGAGTTGAGGAGTTGGGGCAGTTGGGTCCCGCCCACCTTTTTCTACGCCTATATAGATCATCCAAGTAAATCTTACATGTATAAGGCCACTGCGAAACATAAATCATTTCTTTAAAGTACCTAATTGCATGAAATAATGAATCTTACATAATCTAGAACAC